GGGGACGGCGGGCGAGGGGTACCCCTCTCTCCCCCCCTCCCCGCCCTCGCCTTGGCACAGGGAAGACGTCAGGACGGCCCTTGGAGCCGCCCCTGAGGCCCGTTTCCGTGCTCAGAAGAACACAATTTCTATGCAGCTGCTAAGTCGCACCTCTTGTGTTTCTACAGTAAACCAGTCCTGACATTAAGTATGCTCCGTATTTCCCTTTCCCCTCAAACGTCCAGTCTCTCTCTCTCTCTCTCAGTGTCCCCCCCACCACCACCCCCACAGGCGTCCGGGTTCCTTCCCAGCATGCAAGCTCAACAGTAGGGCACGAAGGGTGCACAAAATCCACCTTGATCCGAACCCAGAGTCCCTGTGGGAGACGGGAACAGGACCTGAAAGCGGGCGCTGGAGTTGTGTGCCTTGGGCCGGTTGCCGGGGTGTGTGTGTGTGTGTGTGTGTCCCTGGCCAGTCTTTTCTCTGGGAGACACTCCGTGTTTGAAACGCTCGTGCACAGACAGAGAGATCTCCACACGCACACGAATGCGTCCGAACGTCGCCTGCAAGACCAGTGGCCTTGCGGGGGTAAATGCAGCGCTGTGTCCCTTGCAATCTCGTAGGTGGCGATGGCGGCTTGGAGGGGCTAGGAGGCCCAGGAGTGCCACTCGGGAGCCCTGACAAGAAGAAGCGCAAGGCCGCAGCTCAGGTAAGCGGCGTGAGGGTTGCGTTCCTCCCGCCACAAACACCCAGCTGGGGGTGGGTGGGGGGGCAAACCGGGGCTGCCCTGGCCATCTGCTAGAGAGCCCCACGTCCCATGTACCTGACGTCAAGTCGCAGCCAACATGGGCAAGGGGCTTTCAAGGGAGAAACGGAGGTGCTTTGCCGCAGCTTTCCTCTGCAGGGTCCTCCTTGGTTAGTTTCCCATCTGAGGACTGGCCCTGCTTAGCTTCTGAGATGGGCTCAGGCTATACTGCACCACTTTGGTGTCATCGTGGTTCAGTGTGCGGAGGACTCTAACCTGGGAGAACCGGGTTTGATTCCCCCACTCCTCCCCTTGCACCTGCTGGATGACCTTGGGCAAGCCGTAGGTCTGATCAGAGCTGTCCTTGAAAAAAGAGCAGTTTCTGTCAAGAGCTCTCTCAGCCCCACCCACCTCACAGGGGGTGTCTCTTGTGGGGAGGGGAAATGAAAGGGAGTTTGTGAGCCCCTGTGAGACACCTTTGGGTAGTGAAGGGTGGGGTATAAACCCAATCTCTTTTTCTTCATCTTCCCTACTATGTGTCTTCTGTGAATTCAGTGCTTAGGTAGTGTTACCTCTACATGTTGCAGATGCAGAATCAGCGTACTTGTTGAGACCGACACAATGCAAGAAGCCAAAAAGCAAACAGTCCAGCCTTTTTTAGGATGATTAAAGAGTTCTGAACGTTTCAGGGTGTATCCCCAGGTGTCAGGAAGAGGTCACGCTCTCGGCTGTGGGAGCGTGTGAAAGAGGGAGCTGGATGAATAGGTCAAAGCCAAAAAGCCTGCAGCGATTTAAAGTGGCAAAAAGGAAACTGGCGACTTACATAATTTATACCCTGCTTTTGAGCAAGGGAGCCTTTGCCTTTACCTTTTCCCTCTCTCCAGTGGGGGGAGCCAACGGGGCTGGCCACACTGGTCTCTCCTTCTCTGTTGTATCCTTACAATAACCCTCCTGTGAGGAAGGCCAGGCTGAGATTGGCCCAGGGTCATCCAGGCTTGTGTGGCCAGGTGGGGCATGAACCCGAGTCCCCCAGATACTGGCCTGGCCACTATTCCCACTGAGGCTGGGCCGGTGATGAACAGCTCAGTTCTGTGCCGTCTACCTGGCCCGTGCTTCCCCCTGCTGCTGGAGACTGCAGACCCCACGACTCCTCCCGCGGGCCTCCTGGGGCTCTGGCCACTGGGGTGGGCCTGTTGTGCGGAAACCGCGGCTTCCCCAGGGAATTTGCTTTGGCTGCAAGCAGAGGTCCATCCGTGGCTCTTAGCCACAAGGTCTAGATAGGAACTCTCAGGCTGGGGCAAGGGATGCTCTGTCTTCTTGGTGCTTGGGGGCAGGGTTCCCTCTGAGCTAAGTTAGTGTGCTCACAGTTTTTTAGCCTCTGGCTCACACATTTTTGTCTTAGCTCAGGAAGGAGGGCTCCAGAGCAAACTAATCTTTCCGGTAGCCAAATGTCTCACTCACAGCTCTAATGCCAGGAGCTCACAAACTAGAATTTTGCTCATAAGACTCCACAGCTTAGAGGGAGCATTGCTTGGGGGGGGCAACAGTGGGAGGGCTCCTGGTGTCATCTGGCCCCACTGGCCTGACCCAACATGGGCTTCTCTCGGGTTCTTATGAGTAGAGGAAGGAGGCAGAGGGTTGGTGAGCCTGCTAAGCCCTCCCCTCCCCCGGAATGGTGCGCCTGAGCCGTGCCTTCCCTTAGTGAAGCTTCGGGTCTTTATGGGGCACTCCAGGCTGAACTCTCGGAGCCGGCTGCGTCCCTCTTTTGTCGAGTTGGGTAATTGAAAGGAACACTAACGTAGGCTTTGTGGCTTTCCAGGGCTCCTGCTTTCCGCCGCCATCCGAATATGCTCCACCGCCAAATCCCAGCGCGGATCACTTGGTAGCAGCTAACCCGTTTGACGATAACTACAACACCGTTTGCTACAAACCGCTCCCGTCGGGAAATCCTTATTTCGCGAATCCCAGTTACCCCGGCTTTGGCGGCTACAACACCTTCAGGATGCCGCCTCACCTGCTCACCAGGATGTCCTCGCAGTACGGGGCTTCCTACCCGCTCCGCGGTCAGCCCCACCCGTTCCCGCAGAACCCGGTGGGCGTGGTCTTCAGCCGGCCTCAGGCGATGAACTTTGGGCCCCACGAGAACGTGGGCTTCGGAAACCAGCCGTCGTACCACAGCGGTGTGAGCCAGAACATCGCGATGCCCGGCCAGCACTTCCGACCAATCCCCGGGGAGAACTTTGGTCACATGCCCTCCCAGAACACGACCCAGGTGCTGCACCACGAAATGCCGCTGCATTTTGTGCCTGGAAACAACCCCAGTTTTAACAGTTCCCCGATGGAGGCCAACCCTCCGTATGGGCCACTGCCCAACAACTACAGCCAGAGCAAGCCGATGCAGAAACCCGGCCCCAACAAGCATGGCCCCCCTCCCGCCCAGCACCACCAGCACGGCACAGACGAGGCGGGGAACGCGGACCTGAAACCCGCCGCCCGGCACGCGCCTGCCGGCCTGAAGAGCCACCCCCCCAAGCCTGCCGAAGCCTTGAACAGCGGCCATGCCAACGGGACTCAGAACAAGCCCCCCCTGCCCCGTGGCCCAGCCGAAGGGGGTGGGCCCGAGAAGGGCGGCCAGCTCCCGCTGCACCCCGCCCCGCACGGCCCCCCGCCCTCCGAGCCGGTCTACCCCTGCGGGATCTGCACACACGAGGTCAACGACGACCAGGATGCCATCTTGTGTGAGGCTGCCTGCCAGAAGTGGTTCCATCGGATCTGCACGGGCATGACGGAGTCGGCGTACGGCCTGCTCACGGCGGAAGCCTCCGCCGTCTGGGGCTGCGACACTTGCATGGCTGACAAGGACGTGCAGCTGATGCGCACCAGGGAGACCGGAGGGCCGCCCGTCTCGAGCTCCGAGGCCTGAGGGCCGGGATGTCCCGAGTGAGCGGAGGCGTGCCTTGCGGAGAGCCGGGGGCTCGTCGGCTCCCTTCCCAGCGGGGGCGGTCGCTCTTGCTCTCTGCTCCCCGCCTGGGCGCCGGGCTCTCTTCTCCCGCCTGTGTTTCCATCCGGAGAACTCCACGTTAGCCCTCAAGGTGCCACAGGACTCCTCTTCCGCTTTGTTTTCTAAGTGCTCGCTCTACGATGGTGACCAGCGATCGATTGCCACGTCCTGGCTGTATGCCCCTAGGCCCTGTTGCTACCAATGGCTCCAGGAGGCCTTCCTGGCTGCGGCTGCTGCGGTGGAGGCCGGCCAGGGTGGCCCGCGGTGGGCCTTTGGATTGTAGCTGCCTTGGAGGAGTGCATTAGTTCTGTCCTCTCTTGTGAAGGGTTCTTTCTTTTCTAACATTTCCGAGGCAGCGAGCAAAATCAAGCAATATTTATTGTAAGACGATCACCAGGAATGTGCAGTGACTTGTGTCCTAGCTGAAGCCGTCAAGTGATATTAACCTTGAGTAGTGTTAGGGTTAGTGCAGAAATTCAGTATCCCCCCCCCCCAGTGTCTGTTTCAGAGCATAGCCTTAGTGGGCTTATGAAGGATCCCCATCATTCAAGTGTGTCAGTTGCTAGTGACTTCTGAAGCCCCTGCACTGGCTCTTCCGTTTCCGAGGGACGTCCTGCGCAGCTTGCTTCTGCACAGAAATCCCAGCCCGAAGTGCTTCGTTTATTTCTAATTGCGGCAGGTGCCGTTCCCTGACTTCCAGTCTCACATCATTGCCGGTCCCCTGGGCCAGTCCTCTTCGGAGGTGTGTTCCGGGAGGAGGCCCTGAGGGGTGTGTCCTTGCTGGCCCCAGAGGTCTCTTCCAGCTGGCGTTCAGAGACGGTTGCCAAGTGAAGCATTTCATGCGCTGCTTGTAAACACGCTCCTTTGGAGGTCCATGTCCGGGAGGCTCAGGGCACGGAAGTGGAAGGTGTCTCTCCTCCCTCCACACCTCCTCCGCCTCCTCCAGGTAGTCCGTTTGCCGAGTGTTTTTTCCTCTGCAAGTCCCTCCCCAGGGGAGATCCCGGCCTGGTCAGGCGGGCCCCGTGGGGCCATGGGAGCGAGCACCCCCCCCCCCCCGGCTTGCTCTCCCTTTTTTTCTTCTTTGTCTTTCCAAGGGTGCTTCCCTCCTGGGAAGGGGAGGATCACTCGCAGCACTTCTTCTTCTGCCATTTGGGGCGGGGTCCAGAACGGGGGGGGGGAGCAGCAGAGGATCAAGAAATTGGGGACACACACACACACAGAGCAGCTCAGGTTTCCCCGGCCTCCCCATGGTGGGGGCAGCAGTCGAGAGCTTTGGCCAGGAGGTGGGTGAGGAGGATCCAAGAGCCATCTTCAGGCTGTTGTGGCTGTCCTGGCGCTTTTCTAAGGTTGCTGGGGGGAGGAGGAGGAGCGCGAAAGGGGGGTGGAGGAGGCTGGCGACTGGGGCGTCTGCTTTGGGGTGGGGCTGTTGCGCGGGAGGAGTGGAGGCCGTTGCGGTGGCCCGGCTGGCAGGCAGAGGGCCCCAGGTCCAGCCGGTGGTGTCTCCAGTCCAATGAAGCACCGGGGGGGGGGGCTGCCTGCCACTGGGAGCCCCAGCAGTGCGGCGCTAGGGGCTCAGAGGTCCGTTTGGGGGCAGAAAGCAGCTTTGGACAATCATCCCCGCCCCCCTCAGAGTTGCAGTCTTGTTTGCAGACGATGCACCCAGAGTTGGAGCAGGAAGGAGGCCGTCCTCTGAAGCCCTGCCTTGCCTTGGCGGCTTCCTGCCCCAGTCCTCGTGGCAGCGTGGGGCACGGGCCGCATCTCTCGCGCCAGAGGCCGGCCTGTGTAGCATTACTGGGCTGGGGGGGGGGGCGGTTTGCTTGCCTCTGGTCCGGGCAGGTGAGGCTTTTGAAGTCAGACAAAGGAGTTTTGTCCCAGAAAAAGCCGTCTGGGAGATGGGAGTGCGTGAAGGACAGCTCTTCCGGAAGTGGCCTTTCTTTGGATCTCGGTCAAACACTCTTCTCCCTTCCATGAGCCAAGCTTAAAATGACCCAAAAGCTGAGGGGTGCGTGTGCGCGCATGCTTTCTTGTCTTTATCTGTTTGTATCCCACTCTTCTTCCAAGGAGCTCAAAGGGGGGCATCCGCGGTGTCGTCACCCCCCTACCCTGGTATCCTCACAGCTGTCTTGTGAGGCGGCTTAGGCTGAGAGGGCCCAGTGTCACCCAGTGCCCTTCGTGGTGGAGTGGAGATTCGCACCTGGGTCTTAGGTTGACCGTCAGTGGTTGAGCGACCTTTGCTTTCTTTCCCGTTGTGTGTCTGAGGGTTCCAGTAGTATGCCCGGATCCGTATTCCCCCCACACACACCGTCATTCAGGGAGGTGGGTCCGTGGCTCGGGGGCGGAGCTTCTGCTTGGCAGGCAGAGAGGCCCCAGGTTCAATCCTGTTCCAGTTCCAGTTCCAAAAAGGACCAGGTCCTGTGTGATGTGAGAGGCCCTGGAGAGCTGCTGCCAGTTGAGTAGACGATGCTTAGAGGGACCTGTGGCTGGTTTCAGTATAAGGCAGCTTCACGGTGCTCCTGATTTCTGGGGGGAGCTGAACATGGTGCTGCTGAGCATGTCTTTGTCGTAACCTTTTCCCCACTGTGGGATGCTCTAGGGCTGAACGGAGAAGGTGGGTGCTGAGGCGTCTTGCGTAACCTCTGGGGTGGCCGGTGGTGCTCTTGACGTAAGGTGGGAATCTAGAGACTATTCCGAGTGAAGAACGCCTGGGGGCCCGAGAAGGTCCTAGAGAAGGGCGCTGGCGATGGGTCTCGCCACAAGTATGGCCTTCGCCTCTCGAATCTCAGCTAGGGAGGGGAGGGTTTCTCCGGGTCCACAAAGAGACTCTCTTGTGTGCTTTGCCCCCAAATGTGCCTTATTGTGTGCGTGCCCTTTTTTTGGCGTCTTCAAGGTGACACGCAGATTCAGAGTTGTGGACGTTGGCTTGGTGCTAGGAGAAGACTGCCCCCCCTCCCCAGAAGCAGGCACAAAGCGAGTGGGGCCGTGGCCATGTGGTGGTGGTGGGGTATTCTTCCCACACGACCTTCATGCGGCCTGCTGGGTCAGGCCTCCAGACCTGCCAAGCAGCGCCTGTTTTATCCCGGCGTTTGTGGCCGGATGAGAATGTAATCAAAAATGTTCTGTGACCACTTCTTCACAGCTCTTGTTTGTATTTGGAGGAAGGCAAGTGCTCACCTGTCCAGCCAGGCTTTGCTCTCTTGTGCATGCAGAACGCGCCCCCTCCCCCCCCCGTGTCATGGAGCTGAAGTGTCCTGATGCAGCCGCCGGTGTGCGCGCATCGCTCTTCAGGCATCCGCAGAGGTGTTGCTGCAGCCGTCCATCTGGTCATGGGAGGCAGGCCTCTGCTCTTGGAGCAGGGCTGTGCGGGCCGGCCGTCAGAGTTGAGCCCAGCGGCCCTGGTCTTCTGGGCTGGAGCTTCCAGACTGCTCTGGGCGGTGGGGGGGATGGAGGGAGAGGATGAAAAGAGGGGCGACTTGGGCTCTGGCAGGTGTTCAGAGCCGAGAAGACCGAGGGAAACATGAGCCCTGCAAAGCGCATGGCAGTGTCTGCGGACCGGTGCCCTAGTGCGCAAGGAGGGGTTCCGAGTGGCCTTCCCCCCCCCCAATGTGACAAAACCATTTGGAACAATAATCCTGCCCTCCGAGCTGGTGGCCCAGAGCCAGGGCAGCGGCCTGCCTTGTGGCACCCTTGTTTCCCGTTGCAAGCCTGAGGCTTTCCTGGGGCAGGCAGCAGCTAAGGGACCTGTCCAAGTGAGGGAAAGGGGCAAGCTTCTAGGAGCCTGGGAGGCCGGGGCTCTTGGGGGTGCTTACAAAAAATGAGCAGCAAGAGGTGGCTGGCAGGGCCCCTTGGCCAGTTGGGAGGGGGGGTGCTCCCGTCAGGCCGCTTTGTGGCCAGATGACCCCCTCCCCCCGTCCTCCTGGCAGTTCCTTGCAGCAAACAGACTAACCCTCCAGAACACCGGAGAACTGCTGGAAGCCTGCAAGTTGCCCTTGGGGGGATGGGGTGGTTAGGTGCCGGGTGTGAGTCTTGGAGTAGCCCGCGCGGTGCTCTCTGCAGGCTGATGGGCAGAGCGGGGCCATTTCCTTTGCACTTCCGGCCCTTGCCATGCAGTTGGGGAGCCACACCTGCAGGTGCCCCCCCCCGCCAGGTAGCCCCTCCCGCCTTCCAGCTGGGAGGAAGCCCTCCACAGACCATTGGGGGGTTGCTTGGGCCGACCTGGAAGTAACTCTCTGGCCACCTAGTTTTGTGGTCTCTGGAATCACTGCTTGTGGGATAGACTCTCTGACTCTCTAAGTAGAGAAAAAGTGTCTTTAATATCTATTTTTGGTTTGAGGTCACTGCAAAGAAAAACCTGGGTTTGGTATTCCCCCATCCCATCCCGCCCCCCAGGGTCATTGCCAGTCACAAAATGATCTCGTGCTGAAAAGGTGCCGGTTTCTCTCCCGAAGTATTCCCTGGCTCCCTCCCTCCCTCCCTCCCTCCCTCGGCTGGCGTCCCGTGTGGCGGAGACTGGCCGTCTCGTAGCCCCAGGCTCGCCCTGCCCGGTGACCTGTCCAGGGGACCTCGGTCCAGGGTTCCACGTGGGTGACGACGGCGGTCTGTCTTGTTAGCGGCGGCCCTTGCTGCGAGCGAGCGAGCGAGCGAGCGGGGTCCCGCAGGCTGCGGCGGGCGGCCGGCCAAGTTGACTTGTGTGTAATTCAAATTGGAAAGGCGCTTCCGCACTTGGTCTACTCGTATTCTTTTGGTACGGAATTAAATTACTATGTAATGCCAACCGTTGCCTCTGGCCTGTGTGTCTCTCTCTCTGTGTGGGATTTACGGGAGTCTCCCGCCGCCACCTGGAGGTTGACAACCGTGTGGGGCAGCGTGCACCCCCATTCCTCCAACCCTTCACCGCCTGAAGACGCAGCGGCGGGGCGCCGGCCGGGCCTCGAACGGGGCATGCGCGGGCGGGCAGTTTCGCGTCTCGCCGCGCAGCAACCCCCGCTCCCGGGTGTCCCGGGGCGGCTTTGGAAGCGCTCCGCAGGGGAAACGGGACAAGCGGACTACAATTCCCGGCATGCCCCGCTGCGGGAGGGCGGGCGGGCGCCGGTGGCCGGCCGGAAGTGCCGCGGGGCTTCCCGGAAGCCGTTGCCTAGCGACCGTAGCCATGCCGGTCTGGCTGCGCGATTACAGCTGGCGGCAGACGCCTTCGGTGGTCTACGTGACCGTCCCCGGGCAGGACGGGCGGCGCCTCCTCGGCCGCCCGGACATCTTCTGCGCCGAGCAGTACCTGAAGGTGGGGGCGGCGTCCCTTCCTGGGGTCCGCCTTGGGGAATTGCGGGAGGGACTTCCTGGCCTGGACTCTATGGCAGTCCCATAGAGTCTGCCCTCCGCAGGGGCCAGGGGGGATGGGCTCTGTTGTGTGGAGCTCCAGCCCCCACCGGGAGGTTGGCAGCCCTTCGGGCCTCTCCCCAGGACCGCCTTGCGAGGTGGGCTGGCTGCCGGCGACCCAGCCCTGCTTCTTGGGCCCCGACTCCCTCCCTCCCTCCCTCCCTCCCGCTGCCAGGTGAACGCGCCTCCCTTCCTCTTCGAGGCCTTCCTCTGGGCCCCCATCGACGAGGCCCGCAGCGCGGCGCGCCTGGAGGATGGCTCCGTGTTCTTCACCCTGCAGAAGAAAGAGGCGGCCCCGTGGGACTCCTTCCTGGCCGAAAAGGGTGAGTGGTCTGGATGGTCGCTGCCGAGGGGGAAGGCCTTTCCTCTTTCGCAGAGGCTGCCGGCGTGGAGGTGGGCGGCAGGTGACCCTCTCAGCCTCCCTTCAGACGGTGGGGCGCTTGGGGTGGGTGGCGACCCCACAGCAGGGCCACGTTCTCAGTGGCCAGGCATGTGGCTGAAGCTGGTGGCAGTGCCTACGGGAGGCTGGAGCAGGCCTGGAGTGCAGGCAGAGGCATTGGCCCCCGTGGGCATGGCTTGCGTGAGAGTCGGTGTTTCTCCGCCAGCTGCCTTCACCGCCCAGGGAAGATCCCCACTTCCCTGCCCATGGCTGCACGGCCTTGCCTCTTTCTGGCTCCCTAGCCGGAGCGGTGAGTGTCGCTCCCGCCAGGTTGCTCCCTGCTATCGGGCCCTGATTGCTCTGTCACAGCCCAGTCCATTAACCTGGGGCTGAAATGGTTTCCTTAAGTTGGCAAGGAAGAAATGCAGAGAATCCGAGAGGATGCTGTGCTCAGAGCCCACGAGAAGGCGAAAGAAGAAATGGATGCCAAAGCCATTCGGAAACGAGAACATTCCAAGTGCGCTCTGGAGGCCACCCTGAAGGTAAACCAGGAGCTGTCTGACAATGTCCTTTGGTCCAGAAATGAGCAGTTGGCATCCTGTGGTGTCAAACAGACATCTGCCATTTGGGCTTGGCTGTTTCTGTCTGTACAGATAGCCCTGGCCTTTGGAGTCGAGAGGAGGGGAAAGGATGGAGAGATGCGAGGGGAGCACTTCCTGGCATAGCGAAACCGCTGGAAGGAAAGCAGACCGGGCTGAGTGGAGTTGGGGGTGGAAGCCAGTCTGTGAGGCTCTGTCTCGGAGCATTCAGAAGGGCAGCTGCCATGGGCACGCAGGGCACAGCGTGGGCCTGTGCCCTTTGGCATTCTCAGGCAGGCTCCACCCAGTGCAGCTGGGGAGGCTTCGGTCAGGGAAAAGCCACTCAGCTGGTATCTTTGGGCTCCAGTGGGGTGAGAAGGATTGTAAGAGTCGCTCCGTGGAAGTCCGAGGTGGACTGCGAGTGACTTGAGTCCTTTTAGGGCGGGCTTTGATGTGTCTGTAATTCAAAACAGCTCGAAGAAGCAGAAAGGAAAAGGGTCGAGGACCTGAAAGAAGAGGAGCGGAAAAAAGCCACAGAAGAGATCGAAAAGTGGAAGGAGCAAAATGAAAAGCAGCGTAAGCTGCAAGAAAGGGACCCCGTGGACCTGATTAGAAAAAAGCAAGAGGACTATGAGATCAGATCTGGGAGTGGACGAGCGGCCCAAACAGCAAGTGGAACGCGGGGAGGTGTGTGAGAGAGGGTGTGAACCTCTGGGTGAGAAGCAACCTCTGATGCTGGGCCTGCCTTCTTTTGACACTCTCCCGCTTTTCTGTGATCCACACCCCATTTTATTCTTTCATTCTGGCTCTAGCTATTCTTCTTGTCGAACTCTCAGCACAGTCATTTGCCTTCCTGCTGTGTCCCCTCCTGACATACCTGGTGGGCGGGAGTTTGTTTGTGTGTGTGTGTGCGTGTGTGTGTGTGTGTGGCATCTGGGCCATGACTGCCCACCTTCTTTGAGCTCAGATCTTGGCTCAAGCTCAGATCCTGCCCTCACCAGGAGGCAGAAAGCAAACCCCGGAGGTATCCATTTTCCATACAAATACCAGTACTGACCAGACTGAGGAACAGGTTTCTTTTTGAGTGTGCATGCAAGATCCAAGTGGTGGGTGTTTGTTTTTAAAAGATAACCAGACCTTGAGTGGTTTATGGAATGTTATCGGTGCTCAAATCTTTTTGCATTCCATGACTTGCACCTTTGGGTCTGTGTTCCTTTCGAATGCTCCCAGGGTACTGGATGCAGTGGCACTACGAAATTACAGATAATTATCCCAAGGGTAGGGGTGTAAATAAATAACAGAGTGACAGGAGTATTCGCTGTCCGGAACCTGCTTCTGTGCTCACTTCTAAAGGGCTGCATGAAAGAAGAATCGTTTTCACATCTTTGCCGCGACTCCTTTTTTCTTCGGCATGAAGAGATCCTTCTCCTGGTCATTGAAAAATAAAGTGTGTTGTGTGTGTTGTTGATTATTGCAGCTGGAAGTTCTGGAAATATGTTTTCTGAGAAGCTAAAGGAAGAGTCTGTTCCTGGTCCACGGCGTGCTGGCAGCATACAGCTCAAGTTCACACCTCGCGTCTTCCCGACAGCTCTCAGAGAATCCAGGGTCCAAGAAGAGGAGGAGGTACGGAACACTGACCATTTTGTTGTGGCTTCCAACAAACGTGTTATGAAATGCAGAGGGGTTTGTGTTGCCCTGTTGGCATCTGCTGCCATTTCTTCTCCCTGGAAGTCTAGGGCTCCACGCTTGCCCTAGAATGGTACCGCTGAGGAATGTTCAGCCTCCCTTGAAAGAAAGAAGTAACCCTTTTTAGAGGAGCTTGAAATGGTGTGGCTGTGGTGTTGGGCATGCAGGATGCCATAGGAACTGGTCAGTAGGACCTGGTGGCGTTTCTTCAGCCACCTTCTGCATGGAGCAGAGGGCATGCAGGGGTGAGGGAAACGGCACTTTCCTAGCAGGCTGGATGCTGGGAGCAGGGAGCTGTCCTGCAAACCCTGTTCTGAGGGAAGGTCTCAGCCAATGCAAAGCAGCTCCCCGGCATCCCTTTTCACAAGAACTCTGCTTCTTCATAAACGTTTGATTGTGTCACAAAAGATGGGTGGCACACTGTGCTGAACTCACCCGCTTTATTTCGAAGTGTTTGATCTGCACAGAAAAGAGGTTTCTGCCTTCCACACAAATGATGTCTGCGAACCTCACCACAGATCAGAGCAAATGTGACGTGTGCCCAGAGAACCCCGCTGCTCCTTCCAAGATCCTGATTATCTGTCACGAAATGAAGGCAGGAGGGGCCTGGCTGAGGTCCCCTTCGGAAGGCCTGTGAAAGGACCCACCCCCTCTCTTTGCCTCCTCCCAGTGGCTGCAGAAGCAAGCAGAGGCTCGGAGAGTGATCAGTACGGATCTCGCTGAGCTGGGGGATTTGTCCGAAGAGGAGAAGAATCCCGACTGGCTGAAGGACAAGGGCAAGTGAGTCTTTGGGGAAAAACCTATTGAGGCAGACTCAGCATGGGTTCTGTAAGGGAAGATCTTGTCTCACTAACCTGATAGTGTTCTTTGAGGGGGTGAACAAACATGTGGACAAGGGGGATCCAATAGATATTGTTTACCTTGACTTCCAGAAAGCTTTTGATAAAGTTCCTCATCAAAGGCTCCTAAGTAAGCTCAAAAATCATGGGATAAAAGGACAAGTCCTTTTATGGATCAAAAACTGGCTAATTAATAGAAAACAGAGAGTGAGTATAAATGGGCAGTTCTCTCAGTGGAGGGGGGTAAGCAGTGGGGTACCGCAGGGATCAGTACTTGGTCCACTGCTTTTTAACTTGTTCATTAATGATTTGGAGATGGGATTAAGCAGTGAAGTGGCTAAATTTGCGGATGATACGAAGTTGTTCAGGGTGGTGAAAACCAGTGAGGATTGTGAGGCACTCCAAAGGATGGGCAAGTGGGCGTCAACATAGCAAATGGGGTTCAATGTGGCCAAGTGCAAGGTGATGCACATTGGAGCCAAAGCAGCCAATATCATAATGCCCCTATATAAATCAATGGTGTGACCTTATTTGGAATACTGTGTGCCGTTCTGGTCAGTTCTGGTCACCACACCTTAAAAAGGATATTATAGCATTGGAAAAAGTGCATAAAAGGGCAACTCGAATGATAAAAGGGTTGGAACACTTTCCCTATGAGGAAAGGTTAAAGCGCTTAGGGCTCTTTAGCTTGGAGAAACGACGACTGAGGGGTGACATGATTGAGGTTTATAAGATTATGCATGGGAAAGAGCAGGTAGAGAAAGAGGTACTTTTCTCCCTTTCTCACAATACAAGAACTCGTGGGCACTCCATGAAACTGCAGAGCGGTCGGGTTAGAACGGATAAAAGGAAGTACTTCTTCACCCAAAGAGTGATTAACACATGGAATTCACTGCCACAGGAAGTGGTGGCGGCTACAAGCATGGACAGCTTCAAAAGGGAATTAGATAAGCATATGGAGCAGAGGTCCATCAGTGGCTATTAGCCACAAGGTATAGCTAGGGGCTCTGGGGCAAGTGATGCTCTGTCTTCTTGGTGCTTGGGGGGGGGTCAACAGTGGGAGGGCTTCTAATGTCCTGGCCCCACTGCTGGACCTCCTGATGGCACTGGTATTTCTGGCCACTGTGTGACACAGAGTGTTGGACTGGATGGGCCTTTGGCCTGATC